GCGGCCACTGCACTCCAGTCTGGGTGACAGAGTGAGACTCCAACTCAAAAAATAAAAGAGTGAGAGTGGTCATAGGCCTGTGTGCTACAGAGAGGCCAGACCCGCAGTGCCAGGGCCATGTCACACACTGCCAGGGAGGCTACCCGGGAGGAGGAAAGGTACCCTGGAAGGTGATTCTGAAATTCTGCCTCTGGAGCCCTCAGTCTTACTCTGAGGCCTTGAGTGGCGCCTCTGTGAGCCTTGGGTCGTTTTTCTGTTAAATGAAAGAATTGAACAAAGAAGATTTCAGAGAGTAAACATTCCAGCTTGAGACATTCTATGAGCCTCTCTGATTCATAATTCCTAAATGCCTTAAAATGTTGACAAAATCATGTTGATAAAATCAGCTCTATAAAGTAGGATTTTAAATGCCTAATTAAAGCTGTCACAAAACATGTATTCTTTATTGGTTCTTTTATCAGCTGTCCTAGATACTGACTGAATAAGCATTAGGAAGTCTGACTTCAGAAATGCTCTTCAGACACTCATTTATCACAGATGCCTAACTGGTGAACAGATTGATCGCATACCTTGGTATCATCCACTCCTGGAGAGCTGGGGACTGAGTCTTATTTTTATTTTTTATTTGTACAAATAGAGCTAGGGTCTCACTGTGTTACCTAAACTAATTTCAAATTCCTGGCCTTAAGCAATTCTCCCACCTCGACTTCCCAAAGTGCTGGAATCACAGGCATGGGTCACCACACCCAGCCTCCTTACTTTTTATTTTTCTCTCTGAGTGCTCTTTACAGTGCCTGACACATAAAGAGGCATAAAAATGTTTTTAAAATCAAAGAACAACAAAAGTGCCTCCTTACCTTACCTCTTTCCAAGTTAGGGTGCCCAGCTGGCTCTGCACACAATCTGTCTTCTGTTCCCCAGACTGCTCTCAGGGAAAGTCAACCAATCAACCACAAGAAGGCAGAGTGGCGAGGGTGGGGCTGCCCATCTCGCCTCATTGCTTCCTTCTAATCTGAAGGGGTGGTGCTTTCAGGTGGAACCATAAGTATTTTCAGAAATCACTCCCAGACCGAAAATTGACCTCAGCTTCCAGACCCCAAAGTCTGGTCAAGCTCTCCCCTCGCAAGATGAAAATTTCATCTAGGGAAGGAACTTTCCAGTATCTTCCAGCTCTGTGCAAAACCACATATGTTCTGGGTGAGTCATTTAGTTTCTGACCCAAGGCAAGTCTGTTCTGCCCCAGATGACACCGTGCTTCTTACCTGATCGTAAAGTTCAGGGGAAAGAGCTGTCCTTGCAGTCAGTGGCATCTAATTCCTGAGTCTGTGAAGCTTGTTAAAGCAAACAGTTACAAAAGACGTAGACATCCTCTACCCACCCCACAAAGGGCTTACTAATGACGGAGATCTAGCATGTTAAACTTACAATCACACGAGATCAGATGGACATGTATTGCATGTAAACCATGGCAGGCAATCTGTGGGTGTTTGGAATTGAGTCTGGGGAGAAGTGGCCCCAGGATTCCACATACAGAGAGTTCAAGGTGTTGGGAGATGAAGGCACTCCTGAACGAGGTCAGGAAAGTGTATGGAAGAGGTGGAAAGGCCATCTTAGACAAAGACTGCTGCTGTCCAGGCAAGTGCAGGGCTGGCTAGACAGGAATAGGAAGAGGAGCCAAGGGGTCAGGGGGTAGGATCCCCTGCAGGGGCCATGACCTTTGAGGCGGAGCTGAAGCTCACCCTCACTTTGAATGATGGATAAGAGAGAACTTGGAGAAGCCATAATGTGTTCAAAAGTTAGCTCTGGTCATTCCCCAAGGACCCATCACCAGCTCAGCATTCCCAGAGGAAGGGCAAATCAGGACCCTTCCTGGCCCAAAGGGCACTCGTGAGAATTAGAAAAAGACCCCCTCTCTCAAGACACTTCATCTCGGGATATGATCTAATAGCACAGGTTTTATTAGAACAAGATATTTTATTGCTGTCTGCTAAAATGAATGTATCATTATGTGGTGTCTTAGCTCTGAGTGGTCCCTACAACTCTCTAAGGCAGGGCCACCACAGCCCTCCTTGACCCCAGAAACTGGGTGCAGCCTTGACCCTGGGAACTGGCTGCCTGAGGCACGACCCGTGCCTTTGTTTTCCATGACCCCCCTCACCATGCATACTGGGTACCCACCACGAGAAAGGTGCTCAGACCTTCTGGTCTGTTGTCAACCGACTGCCTCTCTCCAGCAACGCGGTGCTCTGCTGGAAGTTCTGCCATGTGTTCCACAAGCTCCTCCGAGATGGACACCCAAACGTGAGTTTCTGGGGCTGCAGGGTAGCCAGGGAGCCCGGGATTCCTGTGGGGAAAGTGACTGACTGCCTGGGCCATGGAGGCTGCTGGCCACTCCCACACCGCCCCCATCTCCTGGCCTTTGGGTTTCCGGAAGAGGTAGGCTCGCCTCTCCCATCAGCCTCAGCCTCTCCTTCCCACCCCAGACCCAGCTTTGGCTTCCTCCGTCTTCCCCTTCTGTTCTCTCATAGGCTGTTCTCTTCCCTCTCTAGGTCCTGAAGGACTCTCTGCGATACAGAAATGAATTGAGTGACATGAGCAGGATGTGGGTGAGTTTGGAAATGCACCCCGGGGCCACCTGCTCCCCTCCTTCCCCAGGTACCAGAACAAGGACTGGGGAATGGAACAAACTCATCTCTTTCAGCTTGTTTAGGATTTATCCCATGAGCATCAGGGAGTGCTAAGGATGGCCCCCAAATATTACCTCCCACAGTCTAACCGGCGATCCCCGGAAGCTGCAGACAACTTCCTGGGCCTGGGAGCTTCTCCTGCCATTGGGACCTCACATCACAAAGCTGCCTGGTCATTGGGATCCCTCAGCAGCTACAGTGCCACAGTTCCTAATTCGTCCCTTCCTCTGTTCCCATTGGGTCACAGTGCATTAGGAATTCGCGTACCCAATTCTTCACATGAGTGCCTTTTCTTTCTGTCTAGGGATTCTCAATGCCTTAAGATGAGGGAGGGGGCAGGTGGCGGCATTAGAGTCAATTGAAAGGAATGTTTCTGCCCACACACCCCAATCCCTCTAGATCTGATGTTCAAGGCTGTATGTATGGAGGAGGGTAGTCTGCATTTTGAAGACTCTCCCTGGTGGATTCTGATGTATTCTTTTGCCCCTGCTAGTTGAGAATTACTATTAATACTTTAGCCTTTTCCCTCGAAGTCTTATCTGTATCTGTCTGCACTCTTAATATGTTGGCAGTTATGTAGTCCTATCTGCTTCGCAAAGGTCAGGAAATACTAGCCCAGAAAGGGAAGAGCTTGTCCTGAATTCACAAGGCTAGTTAGTTACCTGAACAGAGCTGAGAGTTGTCCCCAAATCTCCCAACTGCATGCTAGAAAGTTATCCCTATAATGTGCAAAGCACAGATCGTTTTTCTTTTTGTTAAAGTTTGCCTGGTATAGCTTCCTCATCCTTTTACTTTAAGCATTTCTATTTTCTTATGTCTTATAAATATCACTTATAAATAGCATTTAGTTGAATTTGGGTGTTTTTTTCATTCAATATGGAAATTCTTGTCTTTTAACTGGGCATTTGTAGTTTATTTACATTCATTATAATACATAATATGTTTAAATTTATATCTTACATCTTATCTTGTGCCTTTTATTTGTCCTATCTGTTCTGGTTCTATTTCTCTCACTCTTTGCCTTCTTTTGGATTCACTGGGTATTTTCTCTTTATTACTAGTTTGGAGGTTTAAAAAAATTCCACTCTTTTTGGTATGCTCTCTAATAATTAAAAAAAAATGCTTGCATAGCTTATCAAGGTCTGCATTACATATCTTTTTCTATTTCCTATAAAACACAAAGACTTCAGAATATTTTAATTTCATTCTCTTCCTCAACTTATATGCTAGTATTGTCATGTATTTTAGTTTAGGTTGTGTGTTTTTTTTTTAATCCCTATAAGATAACATTTTATTTTAGTTGTTTTATTCTGTGCTCTACACAGACCTTCCATATGAGCTCACTTTATTTCTGCCTGAATTAATTATTTTAGAACTTCCTTTATTGAGAGTCTGCTGGTGGCTAACACCATTTTTACTTGTTTGAGAATGTCTTTATTTCAACCTCACTCATGGAAGATAGTTTCTTTGGGTTTAGAATTCTAAGGTGACAGTTTATCTCAACACATGGAGGATATTATTTAAGATTATTCTTCCACTGACTTCATGAAGTCAGCTGTGAGACACAGTGTTGCTCCTTTGAAACTAATCTGTTTTATCTCTGCCCATTTTAAGATCTTAAAATGTGTCTAAGTGTGAATTTATTTTGGATTATTTGGACTTGTTAAATCTGCGAATTAGTATATTTTATCAGTTACGAAAAATTCTCATTTTCTCTTCAAATATTGCCTTTGCGCCATTCTCTTTTTCTTCTGAGACTTTGGCTAGAAATGTGTCAGACTTTCTCACTCTATCCCCATATTTCTAAACCACTATTTTGGTTTTTTCTACCTATTTGTGTCTGCTGCATTCTGGATAATTATATCACATTTAGCTTTCAGCTCATTTGTTCCCTGTTCATTTGGGTCTAATCTGTTATTAAACCTCTCCATAAGGCTTTCAGTTTTAATTATACAGTTTTCACTTTTTGCAGTTCTATTTTTTTTCAAGTCTACTTGTTATTCTTTACAATTTCTTATGCCCTGCATATATTTTGAAACAAATTCTTATTTCTTTAGATCTATTTAAACTTAGTCTTTTCATATTTTTATAATTCCATTATCTGAAGTCCTTAGAGATCTTTTTCTGCCATCTGTCACTTTTAGTGAATTTGCTCATGTTATACAGTTTCCTTTTGTGCTTAGTTATTTTTTACTGTAAGCTGCTCATCTTCCTTGGATTTTTTTTTTTTTAACTTCTGTATAGATGGGGTCTTGCTATGTTGCTCAGGCTGGTCTCGAACTCCTGGCCTCAAGCAGTTCTCCCACCTCTGTCTCCCAGAGTGCTGAGATTACAGGCATAAGCACCACACCCAGCCCGCCTTCCTTAGAATTTTACTTGTGGGAATTCTTTGCAGTCTGTGATGACGGCAGGCTCCTCCAGAGAAAACTGTCATTTACTTCCTTTGAGATCATTAAATTCTTAGCTTAGGGTTTTGTGAATTCTGACCAGATCCCCTTGAGGACTGACTCCTGGGTCCAATTCTCAGCAGCATTGTTTTCCTCCCTTTGATCACAACACTCGTTTGAGGCTGTATATTTTCTTTGTAGTCCTTAGGGAGGACTTCCTCAGTTCAGAGTCCCAGTGTGTGTGTTATTTTATATTTGCCCTCACTTCTCCTGGACCGAGGAGGCAGTCCTTTGTCTCTGACACTGGACTCCTCAACTTGGGCAGGCCAGAGTCCTGCCTCCTGTTCACCTCCTGGCCCATGAGGGCCAGAAAAATCAAAGCTCAGGTTTACCTGGTATGAGAGAGCTCCTTCTCCCCACTAATCTCTCACCCGAGCATTCTGGATACCTGAATATCTGTGTCTACTTAGTCCCTGGCCTGGGGATTCCTCCCTCTCTTGCCAATTCATTAATACCTTCACACAAGCTAACACAAGCTTGTAGACAGCATATCGTGGAACTCTACCTTGTAACTGTGTGAGCCATTCCTCCCTATAGATTTTCCTCCTATATATACATATATCCTAGTGGTTCTGTCCCTCTGGAGAAACCTAATACCATAACTATTGATACATATGTTAATTTAAATCCTTTAAACAGATTATAATCGGATAAAGTGGAAATAATTGAGAGTCTTGAAAGTGACAAATCTTTATCTTAAAAAAAGCAGTGAGATTTTTTTATGAAGGATAATAATAAAATTTTAAAATATGTACAAAATAAATAACATACCTTCACACAGAAGTTTTTAGTATTTTACCCAATATTTTTTACTAGTTTTCAGTGGGAGGATAAACCCAGGTGCTTAACTTGCCTTATTATCCAAAATGGAATTCCTTTGGGTCTTTCTTCCTAGGTGGTTCTGTGTCTTCCCTTTGACTAAGAGTTTCTGGAGACTAAGACCATCTTTTACTTTTTGATCCTTGTGCATTTTCATGTTAAGTATAGTTGTCTTTTTGATGGTGAGGATATTTTTCCTTCTACTTTTCAGCAGTTTCTAATTTTTCTCTAATGAATTTTTCTGTATTATGTAAAAATTAATAAAATATGAATTGTTCATAGAAAACAAATATATTATAAAAACTCCATTGTCTCTGGCATTGATTTTTTTTTTTTGAGTTGGAGTCTCATTCTGTCACCCAGGCTGGAGGGCAGTGGCATGCTCCCAGCCACCACAGCCTCGACCTGCTGGACTCAGATGATCATTCCACCTCAGCCTTCCAAGTAACTGGAACTACAGGCATGCACCACCATGCCTGACTAAGCACTGATGTTTTTAACCTTCTCTGATTACTCACCTCCCTTTTGGACATGTCCAATGCTGTTTTGTTAATTCTACCCTAGAGGATATAGACACATTTAAAAGAAAGCATAGAAGTCAAAATTCATGTGGGGCCACAGCTATTTAGTTTAAGTGTTATTTGTACCCCATTTTCTTTCTTTTTTGTAGATAGCAGGGAGTTGCCAGCATTCTCTGCTCATTTACCCTCTTCCCAGGAACCCAGGACAGCTAGGGACCTGGCTGCACTGGCAGACTGGTGGGAAGGGTTATTCTTCACCTGTTAGGACTGGTCCCATTGCAGATCCCCATCCCATGTATAATAGTGTGGATGCCCTTTGTCAACTGGAATTCATCTGGAGGATGCTTAGAGAGAGGGAAGGAAATATTTCCATAGCCAGACTGATTATTAAGGGTAAGACGCCTGAAATTCTTTCTTTTTATTTATTTATTTATTATAAAGATGTGGAGTACAATTCAGGGTTAGATATACAAACATTGATCATGCAGGTACTCTTGTTGATGAGGTATGCCCCTCCCCTGAATTTTTTTTTTTTTTTTTTTTGAGTTGGAGTCTCACTCTGTCACCCAGACTGGGGTGCAGTGGCCACCGCAGCCTCCCGGCCACCGCAGCCTCAACCTGCTGGGCTCTGATAATCTTTCCGCCTCAGCCTTCCAAGTAACCGGAATTACAGGCATGTGCTACCACGCCCGGCTGATTTTTTGATTTACTGTAGAGATGAGGTCTCGCCAAGTTGGCCAGGCGGGTCTTGAACCCGCGGGCTCAGGCAATCCACTCACCTCAGCCTCCCAAAGCTGAATTTCTTAAATAAGAAGCCCTCATGTTTGTACATAAGAGTGTGCTGTAAGAATGTTCATTGAAACATACAGAGGGTGCCAAAAATGTATATACATTTTAAGGATTGAAAAAACCAGTATTAAAATTATACTACTCGCCGGGCTCGGTGGCTCAGCCTGTCATCCCGCGCCTTTGGAAGGCTGAGGTGAGTGGATTGCCTGAGCCCGCGGGTTTGAGACCCGCCTGGGCAGCGAGACCTCATCTCTACAATCAATCAAAAAATCAGCCGGGCGTGGTAGCACGCGCCTGTAATTCCGGCTACTCGGATGGCTGAGGCGGAAGGATCGCCGGAGCCCAGCAGGTCGAGGCTGCGGTGGCCGGGAGCGGCCACTGCACTCCAGTCTGGGCGACAGAGTGAGACTCCAACTCAAAAAAAAAAAAAATTATACTACTCAATAAGAAGTCACTTTTGACTTCTGCAGGTACAAGAGGAACTCAAAGTGGCTACCATCAGCATCCAGACACTTCTGATTACAGCAAACATCTCTTAAAATGTATGTGGTTTTTGGTACCCCCAGTAGTTTATGATAGCAGAAGCTTCAACTAATTTGAATTGACTTCAAATTCGAATGTATTGAGTCAGTGCAGGAAATGAAAATAATACTTAAAATGTACTGAGCAGTCACTAAAAATGATGCTACTAAGAAACTTTAAGGGTTGGGGGGTGGGGAGAAAAGTTTAAGAAGCTAGAAAAAAGTTGCAGTATATTAATGAAAAAATAGATTGATTCTGTTATCTATTTAAGACTAAAGGTAGATCACTGAGGATTTTTAGGGCAGTGGAACTGTTCGATATGTTACTATGATGGTGGGTATGTGTCATTATACATTTGTTTTTTTTGTTTTTTTTTGAGTTGGAGTCTCACTCTGTCGCCCAGACTGGAGTGCAGTGGCC